CTCCTTGGATTCGAAGCTTCCCATTGCCTTCAATCCATATTCGCACTCGTCCTTTACGGGTGGAAGTGGGGCAGTCCTAGGGGCTCCTTCCAGTTCCTGAATAGTGATCTCGTCATCTGGGTTGTTGGATAGCCCGAAGTTGAAGTTCCCGAAGACCTTGGTGCTCGGTCGCACTGTACCCGCGGTACGGTCTTCGTAGTAAGAGGTGTTCCGGCCGGTGCCATATTGTGGGAACAGGGTTCGGAAGAGGCACTTGGTCGCTGGTGCACAGGCTGTCATGATATGTACAGCTGGTTCGGCGATGCTGATTCCGATGCCAATATCCCATGTGCGATCCTTATTGGTGGGAGCAAACCGATAGTAGTATACGATGAATCGGCCGATTGAGACGCCTGTCGCGATCCATCCCAGGCTCATGACAATGACGACTAGGAGCTTTGTACGTCGGTGCATTTGGAGGCCCCACACCATGATAGAAGGGATTGGGATGATGATGAGGTCCATGAAGATGGACAAACCACACGACACAAGTACAAAGGTACGCGCGTCGATACAAGTACCGCCTGGTACAACATTCCCATTGGCATCGATGCTATCCATGGCGGGTCTGGACCAAGCGTAGGCACGAGGCGTGCACTGCACGACATTGACTATAGTCGACCCGACGGAGTATACGATGTTCAGCCAGAAAGTAAGGTGTAACGGGTATCGCACGCGACGCCGACTATCCTTCATGCGGAAGAGGAACATGATGATGGAAGCTCGAATCAATCCCATGACTAGAAGCAGACGCCACCTGTCAGCAAAATTCCGGAATGTCCTGCAGATCCGATATACGTACGTGGGTGGTACATCATCTGTACTGCGAAGTTCCATCGTATCGCAACGAGCTGTTCCGCCACGGACTTCTTGGGCAGATCATAGACATGATAGCCGGTGCCACTCAGTACAATGTACATCCATGTTGCCAGAGTGTCTAGTATGAGGAGGACAAAGGCTATCAAGATAAGGTGGTCGTCCCAGCAAAAGTTGCGTCCGAGGTACCGCGACCATACCCTGAGGAAGACTGTGAGAGAGGCGACGACTGTGAAAGTACCGATGATGGCCAGGACCTCGGGTTGTCGGCTTTCCACCATAGTCCTGCTGGTGTTTGTCGCCAGCGTCGTGCGACTGTGGAGCGCTCAGTCCGTTGGTGCGCAGTAGCCGTTGAAGCCCACAGCGTGGAGTTCAATGTTGGCCTGTCCAGTGGATCGTGAACCGGATGAACCAGAGGGCTTATGAAGATCGTGGGTCCACGACGGATGATCGCACCGAGAAGCGAACGTGGAGTAACGACGCAAACAGTGAGGATCTGAAGTGTGACGGATATTGTAGGTGTTATTGGCCCACCCAAGGAAAAGTCGAATGTACCCGCACTGGACGCCTTCGAGTTTTCCTCGCTATGTGACTAGTATATGTCGCGCGTCCACGCGGGAAGTCGCACGTACACTCCCTTGGTGTCAGGATTGGATGTTTGGTGGCCAAGACGGATGCTGTCACTGCACGGCGAGGTGAAAGGTTGCCTCGGACCAGCCGCTGCTCTAGACTCTTGTCGTCTCAAGGATAAAAACCTGCCAGGAACCAGAGGCGTCGTCCAAAGCGAGGCGGTCCATTATGCACACCACAGCCGCGGCAACAGTAGTCGACTCCCGCTCGTGTCTTCCCCTCTCGCTTGACCAGAAAGAGGACTAGAGCGTCTCACGAAGTCCAAATCGGTTTCTCACGGTCCGAATTTGGGCTGACATGTCAAGGGCAGCCCTGGACACGGTCGCAATCTTCCGGCTGGAGGCCTGTCCGCCCTGGTGTTGGCTGGTCGATGGTCTGGACGCAACCATGGACAATTGAGCCACTGCCACTAGGGATTTCGATTGCGATTGCACAGTGAGCGAATCGATGTTTTGAGCCACTTGTGATTAGGGGAAGTAAGTATGCCGATCTTCAGGATTATGGCGTTGTTGGCGTTGAAGGCTTGGAGACCGGCGGCCATGTGGCTAACGGAGGCGATCCCCCGGGACTAGTTTATTGTCCGACCCGTCTGACGCGGCTCCTGCCAGACGCGCAGTCATCCTCACTGCACTCGATTGCAATTGATGGCCGAGAAATAACTGACACCATTCCAAGCCGTTATCATGAACGCGTGTTTTAGAACTACTTGTGAGCTCCACTGCTGCAGGTCCGTTGTCAGGCAATCGCGGCAGCTTCGCGCTTGCGTGCGTACATGACTCTCAGACTTTGCACTACCGGCAGCTACGCCGGCACCAACAGGCAGAACCTGGGCGGCAAGCCTCACGACTCGAGTAACGATGTGCCTGAGACTAGTCCCAACGACATATTCGAGCGCACGTGGGCACAGTCGATATTCCAGGGACTGCCTCACGAGTGCAGAATTCGCATTATCATTGCTGATCGCTTCTTGCGATAGGTCCAATATATAGAATATGCATGTGAGATAAGCCGTACCACGCAACATCTGCATACATGGACACTCAGGAATTGCCTGGATAGGTTGCGATGCCGTGATTACTTGAATACCATGTCGTCGCCCCCGGTTATCTCAGCTGTCAACAATCTTTCCAGCCAAGATCAGCGGTCACACTCTGGGCAAAGAACATTAGCCTACATCCTGCCAAGCTCAGGTTATTGGACGACGCCTCCTATATCGAGTCAGTCCGTAAGATGACCATTATGACTATCGCCTTGTTTCTCGTCTCAGTGCGCAACGGTCCGTCATCCGCAGACCAGCCGCAAGCCCCAGGGGAAAGGTACAGTGAGTAACGGCCGTCAATGGCAAAAAGAAACTTTCTGACAGACATGTAGATCTGCAGCCGTTCGACGGGAGACGATCAATTGCCAAAGATTGGTACCCTCGGTGAAACACTGAGTCGTCGTTTTACACCGACGAACGATTCAAAATGGCTTCCATCGCTATGTGGCTCGCAGTTTTGGCTGCAACGTCAACCACGGCATCACCCGTCCTTTCGGCTAAGGCTGGAACCAACACCCTCAACGTAGATGTAGACCTCCAAGGCGTCACTTCAGCAGTCAGGTCCCTCTTTCTCCCCGGCTCGCTCGACGCTACAACACCAACGAACTCTTCGAGATGCAAAGTCTACCCCGATGACCCTCAATGGCCTTCCGATGAGGCCTGGTCCCAGCTCAGCAAACTCACTGGCGACCGCGTCATCAGTGCACCTACTCCGTTGGCAGCAGTGTGCTACCCTGGCGAAGATTACAACGCTGCAAAATGCTCCGAATACACTGTGGCAGCATGGCAGAAGTCGTATATCCATATGATCGACCCTATTGAGATGATGTCTCCAGTCGCTCAAGGCCTGACCTGTGCCCCACCGGTTCTCTACGACTCGCATGGCTGCACTCGTGGAGGCTTCCCCATGTATGTTGTCAACGCGACTGAACCCAAGCACGTCCAGCTCGCCGTCAACTTTGCTCGTAATTCGGGTGTCAGACTCGTCGTCAAGAACACCGGCCACGACTTCCTCGGCAAGAGTGGTGGCAAGGATGCTCTCAGCATCTGGACGCACAACATGAAGGACATCGAGTACATCGAAGAGTATGTCGATGAGAAGCTCAACTACACTGGCCCTGCATTCAAGAGCGGTGTTGGCGTGCAAGCTTTCGAGATCTACAAGGCTGCCGCTGAGAAGGGCAGAATCGTCGTTGGTGGCGAAGGCGAGACGGTCGGAGTCATGGGTGGATACATTCAAGGAGGTGGTCACTCTCCATTGACCGGATTGTACGGCACTGGAGCTGACAGCGTGCTCTCCATGGAGGTCGTTAGGGCTGATGGCGAGTATGTTGTCGCAAACTCTACCTCCAACACCGATCTCTTCTGGGCCCTGCGTGGTGGTGGTGGCAGCACCTTTGGCGTCGTCACCTCCGTGACCGTCAAGGCCCACCCCGACCTCGAGGTCACAGCCTCCCGCTTTGGTTTCAACTCCAAGGACACAGGCAACGAGACGTTCTGGGCTGCAATCCGCTCATACGTCGACCTGTGGATTGACAACGCCGATGCCGGTACATACACATACTGGACTTTGATCCCCTCCAACGGCACCTTTGCGTTCGCCTTCTCGCCCTTCTTTGCGCCCGGCAAGAATGTCGAGGAAGCCACCGCCCTCCTACAGCCCTGGTTCAACAAGCTCGATGACTTGGGTGTCAAGTATGACCCCAACATCACCCACTTCGACAACTACTACGATGCGTGGCGTTCATCCTTCCCTCTCGAGGCCGTTCAGAAGCCCAATGTAGCAACCGCATCGCGCCTCTTCCCTCGCGCCAACTTTGAGACAGCTGAGAAGCGTCAAGAAGTATACGAGAACATCCGCCGATCGAGCGAGAAGAACCGCGTGCAAGTTCACTTCAACATGCAGGCCAAGGACCCATACAACACCGACAATGCTGTCAACACTCATTGGCGCCCGCTAGTCTCCTTCAGCATGCAATCTGTGCGCTGGCCCATCAACAGCACCGCCGAGGAGATCCTGAGGATCCGCAAGGAGTTCCAGGCAGGCGATATGCAGGCCTGGAGAGACATTAGCCCTGGTGCTGGATCCTACCTTGCTGAGGCTGATCGTCTCGAGCCTGACTTCGGTAATGCGTTCTTCGGTGACAACTACCCTAAGTTGTTGGAATTGAAGAAGAAGCTTGACCCTCAGGATGTGTTCTTTGCGACTACCGGAGTCGGTAGTGAGAGGTGGAAGGTAGAGAGCGTAGACGGCCTGCCGAACGAGAACGGCAAGCTGTGCCGTGTGTAAACGCTGGACTTTCTTTTCTCTGTATATTCTTTACTTCTCAAATTGGCCGATCTCGTTTGTAGCTTTGATAGATAGACGTCACTACACGAGTAAATCACTAAGTCTATCAAGTATTGCTCCCTCGTTTGTTGACCATGAACCCTTTTGCGCACATCTCGACGAAATTTGATAGCGACAATGTCGCCACTAAACTCTCGCATCATCCAGTGCGGGCCGGCCTTCAATCGTATCAAACACGGGCCCAACGAACTGCCTCTTCCCTCTGACAAACCACCACACAGCACTCAACACCAGAACACCTCCCAGAACGACCGGTGCGTAGTTCATGTTCTGAGCCGTGACAGGTTGATATGGCGGAAAAAGAAGGAAGATAGACACGTAGATAGTGTAAATGATAGAAACAAGGTTGACACCCACACCGAGTCTTCCAAGTCTAAAGGGACCGTATGGTAGTGATCTCGGACGAGCGATCCGCTGGTAACATATGAGCAATATCGGCATCAAGTATGAGATGTACAGGCCGACTGTGCCTAATGATACGATGGCGTTAAAAGCGGTAGTAGAGCCGATGTTTAAGAGGCCGATCAAAATGAGAAAGACGCTGGTGACCGCTATCGCTGGTAGAGGTACATGATGTTTGCTGTCAACTCGGGATAGCGTTTTCGAGCAAGGTAGTCCAGCGTCCTGGGCGAAAGACCACAGCATTCGAGATGCTGTCAGAAGAAGAGGTACTGTTGCCAATGCCGCTATGGCTATGAGGGCGCAGGTCATGGCTGACGCCGCAGCCTTGCTGCGACTGATCTGGTAGAAGATCTCGATGATGGGGTATCCGGTTGTCGTTTCCATCGCTTCGGTGATGTCGCCCATACAAAACAGGACGACGAGCAGGAACCCGAATCCTAGTGCGCCGTTGATGATGATTGATGCCAACATGGCTCGCGGAACGTTGCGTTCGGGGTCTTTGATCTCTTCGGTGAGATGGGTCGCGCTGTCGTATCCTGGTCGAATTGTCAGTTTTGTACATTGTTGGAAATGGACGCGACAAACCCGCAAGCACGTATGTGCTACTCAGCAAACCAATGCTGAAAGCTACGCCGTCACTACTCCATCCCGACTCGTTGATATAAGTAGTGAAGACGAATTCCGCGGAATTTTTGCTGGGCGATATAACGCAGATGACAATGATCAGCACGATCCAGAATCCGACGTGCAGCGCGAATGTCGCATGCAAAATTAGAGGCATGATTCTGATAGCGAAAACATTAACAAGTGCTGCAAGCCCAAGGAAGGCACAATATATCAACGTTCCGTGCCACCTCTCATACGAGTAGCTCGGGTAGTTGAGTACGACGAGACCTTGAATCATCGTTGCGCCGAGGAACGGTGCAGCCGCAGTGAAGGTCTGCCAGGCGAATATGCAGATCCATCCCGAGGCATATCCCCATGCTGCTCTGAATTTCTTGGGAGCAAGTTGGACGACGAAGTAGTACTGGCCTCCAGCCGATGGGTACCTGGCGAAAAGTGGTGGTCAGATGAGTTCGCAATCCACAGAGGAGCTCTCGACTCACATGGAGGCCAATTCTGAAAGAGACAACGCTGTTGCCAATGTCCCTATGATCGCGACTGTGGTATCTGTATCAGAGGCCGATTCGAGCCAGCAGATTGGAAGACGAACGTAGGTATCCATACACCAGAGACACTGGGCCTCCAGATATGAGGCCGGTGGCCATTGTAGACCCAAGTGCTTCCCATGTTGCGATCAGAGATGTTGCCGTAGAAATAAGGGAGAAGACGTTGAAGTTTTGCTACTGCTTGGTAAGTAAGACGGTATCAACGGTCTCGACGTGACTTACTTCAAGCTTCTGGTCGGAGACCTGCGTCTGATCATGCTTCCCAGACATGGTCCGTTGCAAGTCCAGAGCCATCGCTTCGTTCTCTTTGCCGTCAACATCTTTTCGAGAACTCATGTTGGTTTTCTCGTTCATTCGCTCTGTACAGCGCAGTAGACGGTTAGTCCGATAGGAAGAAGAGAAAACGCTCAAGCCGCATGTTCAATAGAATCATGGTCGTTGATGCGGAACCAATCCGAACAACCTGGACTGGTGAAGCGACTGTAACCTAATCAGGAAGCAGTGGCATGCCTGTCAAGATATGCTTATCTCTGCGCCGCATCTTTCCATTAGCAGAGGGGCTCCATGTTGAACGTGTGTCAGTGATCCCAGGGCCTTTCTCTCACGTTCTGCTTATAGTGTCCTATCTCGTCCAATCATCGAGGCGGGTTATACGAATTAGAGGAACCGGTTCTGCGGGGAACGGCAAAGGAAGAGGGTTCTGCAGCCATCCCGACGCCGGTCGTAGATGTAGGCGGAATCATGCCGTGATAGTGTACCTGACTCCAAACCAGACATGTGTATCTGGTGCTTTGCGAGTCACGGTAGCCATGGTGCATGCCCGGGTGGTGCGAGACGAGTAGTCGATGAGCCGAAGTGCTGTGCCCAGATCCCTCGAAGCTTACTACGCTCGGTTTAGACGCGTCAACATGAGTCGTCAGGTCGAACGTATGCCGTTGAGTTCATAATTCTCGTGTTGAAAGCGGCGCCTCTGTTCGGTGTAACGTCGGGGAGGTTGGCAAGACGTGCTTGACGCGTCTTATCGGTATTGCGGGCAATGCGGACGCAATTCCGCGATAACGCTAGCGTGGTGGTGGCCCCCCAGCACCTGCAGTTCCGTGGACGCGTCAAATGATAACCACGAAGGCTCTTTCGGAAATATGTTGTGACTCTCATAGTAGGAATGATCTTGAGATAGAAAGACAATCTTCTAAGCTTTCAGAACACCGTGCCATCTCGCTTGCAAGCATAGTCTAACAAACTACCACCACCGCACCCCCCTCCCAGCAAAAGGCCCATCGCCCAGCATCTGCTCAACAAGCCAATCATCAATAATGACCGCCGCAACCTTCCTTAGCTCTTTCATATGCCTCTTGCACAGATATACACCGCGATTTTGTGCATCTGGCCTCCATCTGATAGTATTACGGCAGTCCCGGACGGCGCATGGTTTCTGGAGATAGCAGCAGGAAGTGAAGGAGGAGGAGATGGACGATAGAGAGGGGCGTGGGATTTTGGGCATTTTTCTTTGTGGTGTGTTGGGGAGGACGGTACGATAGGATGTTGTTGTGTAGGTGAGATGCGGTGATAGAGGCTGGTGTGGTTCAGGTGTGCTCAAAAGTTCAGATGAATACGCAATAGTCCGGCAGGACGACTACTATACCTCCGCTAACAATGCGTTGGCTCATGATGCGATGTTGTCTTTGACAAACCCTCATCTGGGTCCAATCCAAGGACGTCCCGTATCCACGTATCCCCCAGCAGCAAACACACGCCTCCTGAACCATCTCGCCTTCGTTGCATTCCATTCAGCGATAGGAGTCGCATCTTTCCAATGGGCCCCCCACGCATCGATATCTAGATCCTCGTTTGACCAGCCTTCACGTCCAATGCGGTCTTCATTGCCAATGATTCCTGACCTCTGTCGTCCACTCCTGCTAACGTAATCTTTTGAAACTCGCACATTCTCGCGCCTCTACTGCGAGATGCCCAACTCCTTGTAGAAAGCTTCGGTTTGGGGCTTGCGACCAAGGAACTCCTCAAGAATGTCCATCTCCTCCTTGGAACCACCACGCTCGAGAACCGTGTGCCGGTAGCGACGGCCTTCGGTGGGGTTCATGGGATCCTTCTTGAAGACAGTGTAGAACATGTCTGTGGAGTAGACCTGAGATGAGAGGTAGCCGTAGTAGCTGTGATGGTTAGCATGTGATGTTTGGTAAAGTGATCGAACGTGACTTACCCAGCGTCATAACCACCGATCAAGTGGCCAAACGTAGCCTGTCCGTTACCCCAGTGCCAGTCACCCTTCTTGTCACCCTCCAACGACTCAGGTCCCTTCAGCTGACTGATCTCGTGCCTCAAAGAGTTGTACTTCTCAGTAATATCCATCTTCTCAAGCTCCTCATGGCTGGCTGGCTCGTGAACAGCCATGTCAAAGGTGCCGAAATGCAACTGTCTCAAGTTGAATAGGGCGTCGTTGACATGCTTGGTTGAGATCAACTTTGCAACGAGTGACTGGGGGATCTGCTCCGCTGGCTTTTTGTCGGCGCCCGAAGACTCTAGATATGCCTTCTCGTAGTCGGCAGAGATGTGAGAGTAGTGGTGTGATAGAGAGCGTAGTTGCGACGGTGTCCAGCACCAGTTCTCCAGCATCTGAGATGGTGCCTCAACAAAGTCACGAACAGTGTTGGTGCCGTGGAAGCGAGAGTAGGTTGTCCGCGATACCAAGTCGTGAATACCGTGTCCAAGCTCGTGGAAGAGGGTGACGACTTCATCGTGCTTCAGTAGCGAGGGCTTCTTCTTTGTTGGCTTCGAGAAGTTGCAGACTAGTGCCGTTGCGGGGTATCGTCGCTTGCCGTTCTCGTCTATGTATCCAGGCTGGAGGTTGAAGTTGGCGGCATGTCTACCAACAAGTCAGTATTCATTTCATATGCAGGTTGTATAGCGGCGTTACTTACCCGTACTTGCCGTCCCGAGGGAACAGATCGAGGTAGAGATAGCCGACAAAGCCCTCGCCCTCGCCCTTGTCATCCCAAACGCTAAAGATCTGCACCTCCTCATGCCAGACAATATCGGAACCCTTGCCGCCATCAGCAAGGGCAGCCCTGTCTTCCTCGCCAACGATCTCAACGAAGACCAGACCAAAAAGCTCTTCAAAGATCTTCAACATGCCTTGGATAGTCGTCTGCAGAGGGAAGTATTCGGCAATGACTTGGTGGTCCAACTGATAGTCCTTCTCCAGTAACAGGCGATCGTAGTACCGGTTGTCCCAGAGGTAGTAGTCCTTGGTCAGCGGGCCGGTAAGTCCATTTTCCTTCACATCTTGCTCTTTCAATGCCATCAGCTTCTCAATCTCTTTCTTGCCGCCTGGTGCAAGCCGAGTGCGAAGGTCACCGAGGAAGTCGTCGACTGTCTTGGTAGTTTTTGCCATCTTATCTTCTATCCGGAATTGCGCGTGGTTGTCGTAGCCGAGAAGGCGGGCGGCTTCGTCACGAAGGAGGATGGCCTCCCTAAACAGAGGTACGTTGTCGTTGCACTTGTTCTCATTCTCAACGAAGACCTTCATGCGCGTCTCCGGGTTCGTCGCGTACTTGAGCGTCGGGAAGAGGTCGGGGTACTTGAAGGTCAGGAACAGCTTGCCGTCGAATTCACCCTCTCCCTTCTTGAGTCCTGAGAGGACATCTTCTGGCACGCCGTGTAGCTCCTCGGGTGTAAACCACAATCCTCCGCTTTCCTCGTTAAGGTTCTTCTGGAAAGCAATGCTGATCTGACTCAGACGCTGCTTGATCTCCTTGAAACGATCCCTCTTGGGGCCCGCGGGAAGATTCAGACCATTTCTAATGAACGACTTGTGGTCCTTCTCGAGCAGCCGTCGGGACTCCGGGTCTAGGTCCTCGCCCTTCTTCAGTACCGCATCGATGAGGTTGAAGACGTCCTCGCGCATAGACGACTCAATACCAAAGTCGTCGAGCATCTGCTCAACCTCGCTGGACGCATCGCGGAGCTCCTTGCTTGTCGACACGGCGTTGTAGAAGCCGAGTATATGCGATTCGATGGCCATCTTGTTGTCATCGCGGGCGATGGGAAGGAGTACGTTTGCGAAATTGGCGCTCTCGGGCTTCACGTCGCGGACAATAGCATCCTGAACACCTCGTGACCTGTCGATCTGGGGCAAGCGTTAGCATTTGGTCGATGCACCCCTCCGGCGGGGTCGGCAGCAGCAATTGCGAGCGGAAGCTCTGGAATCACGGAGCCACACATACCAGTCGCTTTGCGTCATTCACCAAGCTCTCCTTGGTAGCCGTGAACTTGGGCGGCAACTGCGGCGGTGTCTTGTATTGCGATGGAGCCATGGTGGAATTGGTGAGTGGCCTAAACGGTTGTGTGTAGAGGGGATGCCGTAGAGGCGAGGGTTTGACGTATTGCAGTATAGATGGTACGCGGCCGCCGAGTCGGATTGAAGCCAGGATGGCGGATGTTGCGATGAAGAGAGCGACAGCGGCGAGGAATAGCTTGGTAAGGCGTGAGGAAGCCACGGTGCAGGTGGGTAAACAAGCGCCTGCTACTTAAGCCGAGATGTGGGGGAGATCCACAGGTGCGATTGGTGTGCTGCGATAAACAACGGCCTTGTAGCTGCGAGCACGACGGTGAAAGCGGTCGAGTATAACGCGGGCGTCTACGTGACCTCTCCATCGCTCTCTGGCAAGCCGCATGAGATCGCCGCTGACGCCCAGGTGGATAGCTCCGCCCGGTGTTAGCCTCAAATGGCAAGGCGGCATCGTTAAACCCATGTCATCCTGCACCCCTCATGCAACACCCGATGTTAGACATGGCCGCAGTCGGCCGTGACGAATGTCTTTCTGCAGCTGCCAATGTGCATACAGAACGCGACATCTGTGTTCATGAGACCAGCGCAGTCTGTGCAGTTCACAAGTGACACAGCTATTACGAGTTGCTTACATTCTTGAGGGAGAAAAACATGAACTTTATTAAAGGCAGATTATCATTATCGTTACAAATACAAGAAGGCACCCCTGAGCTCCTCAGACCGTCATGTGCGGATGCTGTTGTGGCTCTAGCAATGTCTCGCCCCTACTAGCTGAGCTCAGACTTTCCGGTATGGTGATAAAGGGCCCCCAAGCAGACCCTCTAGTACGCACTGTCTCTTCGTGTATTGTGATGAAGCAATTGTCCTGCTCACTGGCTCTCTTGACGTCCTGGAGCGGCCATTCGCCCATATCGAGTGCTTTGTGCTGGCTAAAGGCATCGATCTGAACAGGCCGCGATGGCACTCTGTTGACCTTCACTGGCGTTGCGCTTCGTTCTTCCTTTTGAGTACTGCGAAACAAGAGACGCAGGAATGGTATAGATGCAGAGATTATGCCGCTGTTGGTCTCAACCTGACCCCACAGGAGTAGGTCGTTTCCAAAGCGGGCAGAGTTGGAGGGCGACTCAGCCCATAGCATCATGACCCACATGCGTACGGACGATGCAGTTATAGCCATGATGCCAACTGAGAAGATGCCGATGAGTGCTAGACGTTTGGTCATAGCTATGCGAAGACTGAGAAGTGTCGGAAGGGGAAGCATGAGGATGATGATGTCGGTTATCAGGTTGGATGCCGAGGAGAACACCCATAGCTTGATGGGGTCGAAGCATTTGACTGGCTTTCGGTGGGCGTTTGGGTTGCGATCGAACTGAGCGAAGTAGTTGGTTGTCGACCAAGCGTCTGATGGGTTCTCGCATTGGAAGGTAGATGCCATGCTTGCAGCAAACGTGTACATGCAGACGAAAGCGATCGTAGCATAAACGAGCTTGCGGAACGTGCGGTTTGCGGCGATGGCGCGGTAGAAGAAGAGGATACTGAGCTTGACGAAGCCCAGCCCGATGGTGTAGGTCAAGCGGTAGACCCACCATGATATGAGATTGCCACGGACTTGCGGCTCGATCAGGGGCCGCTTCTCCTGGATGGATGTTAGACGTTGTTGTTGGCTGAACTTTGGTCTTTCTCACTGGATTGAATAGATAGCTTGGACGAGTATGGGCGCTGGTCTCATCTTGATAGAAGTTCACCACGAAGTTGCCCCATGTAACTACCTGAATCTCATTAGCTTTATCGTCGAGGAGACAAGGCTCAGACTTACAAGAGCCACAAACATGAGGTGATCGCTAGCACTGACAGTTCCCATCAAAAACCATCTGCAATAGTATCTGTTCGAGGACGTCAGCCTGTTGCCATATCACATCAACGCCAATTAGTCCTACCGCAACGCTACGATGACGGTCGACATCGTCGTGAGTATCGCCCCAACAATCACCACCACATATCCCGGCCGGAAGTACATGTTGAATGGCTGCGCGTGAAGCACAACAAGGAGAGTATCTAGGCTCGATTGAACGATCCGACGTGTGCAACAATGCGCCCGGACAGCAAGAGAAGAAAACAGATGTATGAACAAACATGAACATGAACAAAGTGAGTCGGGCCTGAGCGTTCGGTTATGAGGACGGATACAAAATGCAAACCTGAGGATTCCCCAGATTCTGCACAAGCGGGAGGGAGTGTCCCATAGGCCGTGTGGCGCTCCTTACGCGTGTGAACAAGCATTACTATCCCAGCTGTGGCGATCATGCGAGAGAAGCGACCGGATGGCTCGACGCGAAGTGAACCATAGTACATGTCTGGAGAATGCGATTGGTCTATGGCATCGAGAAAGTTCGCAGCTAGCGAATGATGCAAGGCTTAGAAACCGTTGTATAACATCGGGCAGCCATATGATCGGCCCGTAGCCTTGAAGAATCCACAGGAATCCACAATGGCATGCTATGAAGGAACAATATGGGGCTGCGTCGTGATCTTGGCGCATGTGGTACGATCAAGATAGAGACGCTATCTCTATGCTGGGCTACGGAAGTCATGCGCGCTAAGTCCAAAACAGGTACTAACCGTGAAAGGAGAAGAGACAGCGGCCATGTGGCTAGATTCGGGTAGCTAAAGGCTTGCATGATGTGATGGGCTCGGCAGCAGAGCTTCCATCAGACCCACTTTTAGCCGGGTGGGCGTTGTGACGTGAGTGTCAGAGACCCTGAGGCTGAAACGCTTGTTGCACGCGTTACTCAACAACGAGGGCCTGAGGCGATAGACGAACGACGATGTCGCATTCGGACGCTGTTACGTAGTCTACGAATCGAAATGCTCGGGCATCGTGCTGGTTAGGAGAGCTCGAAGGGATCGTGCATATTGAGCCTAGACCGCACTTAAAAGATTGCCGATCAAATACTGTAACGACGCACCCTGGATTGTGGGTACTTGAAGGGAAGATAGGAAACATGAAGTTGCAATGAAGTCGGCAGTCTCCTGGTAAGCCGGGATGAGGATGGAAAACGACGTTGCAAGGCAAGATAGAATGCTGTACCTGATTGAGGCGGTACAGAAGGCCGGCCTCGAAACAAGGGATCGTAGGAAACGTCAAACCCCGGTAGAAGAGGTGTAGAGCCCACCGCTGCAACACAGTTAGTAGCACTTTCCTGTGATCACAGTCTGATGTTCGTGGGAGTTGCAGCGGGGGGTGCTCTCAAACATCTGCGGGGTGACGACTGCCGAGCGCTACACGAAGGTCGGCATCTGAAGGCCGCTTACACCGATGCGCAAGTTGAGTTTGGAGGTGGCTGGCGGCGCCAATGAGTCGTTGTTGAGGAAGAAAGCAGCCGTAAGACAAGCCAAGGATTCGGACACACCCTGAGTGAGAATGACTCACCGCTGCGCGCTATGATTGGACCATCGGGTGGCTTTAGGTGGGGCTGTGAACATCATCCGGGGACCACACTTTGGACTAAGGCACCGCAGCTGCAAGCCTCAGGCTTGCGTTCAGCGAAAAGGGCGTACGGGGTTTGGGCGACGGAATGTCCGGTTAGGTTCCCAAAGCGAGTACGATTTGGCAGATAATGGTGTTGTTGATGTAGGACATCGTCGAGGGTGTTGCTCACTTCGACTCATTGTGAGGTTGATGGACGTCTTCAAGGGCTCAATTTGTGTAGATATAGGCTCTTGCTCATTATGAGCCAGAGTGATTGTCGCGGAAGATGAATGCAAACATCAGTATAAACTGAGGACAGTACAACATAGAGTCATATGCAGAACAGATATTGAATTCATCGTTTGACGAGATTGACAGTGAGTGTACACCACCAGAACCCTACAACCTCTGAGATTAAACCCTATTTTGCCGATCTGAATATCGCCCTGAACAGGCGTACCATGATCCGACCCATTGTCCGACATCGTCTGAAAGGAGGCCTCTCTAGATGATGAAACAGGAAAGATTAGACCACCACATGCTGACAGACCGATGCAGGGTTACTTCTGAGAACGGAGCAGGGCACGAAGCGTCTCGACCTCTCCCTCCAACCTGGCGTTGCGGACTTTAAGGTCGTCCCGCTCGGCTTTGACTTCCTTGAGTTCGGCCTCGAGGGTACTCATTTGATCGACGCGCTTTTGGCGGTAGCGACGGGCAGCAAGGGTGTTTGCCTTTCGCTTCTCAACTCGGCAGGAGGGTTCTGAGTCCTTGGGGCTGTTCTTTGTAGATGACAATTTGGACGACGAGATTTGCTCAGAAGGTGATGAGCTCTGATCCTTGTGACTTGTCGAGGAAGAACCAGACTGAGAGTAATCTACGTAGATTAGTTACTGGAGAATTGAGAAGCGTGGCGTGGTCTTTACCTCTGGTCATCAGCGCAGATGTGTTCATAGTGTTGATATTGCCCATGCCAGGCGGCATGGTAAGCATGTTCATGTTGTCTTCCGCGATCGAAAGTGAAGTAGGCCCGCCAGGAAGCAGTTGCGTGCCATCGCCAAGATATTGTGAGTCAGAATGGGGGAAGAGGTCCCAGTCTGGAGTGGTGTGGAAAGAAGGGTCCGGTGCAAGTAAGCCACCTGTCAAGGCGGCGGACGACGAAGTAGAAGAAAGAAGTGAAGGGGTATCGAACAGAGCACTGTTATTATCGGCGGTCGAGTAGGAGAGTGCGAACTCCCAATTAATTGACTGACTTCCAGGGTGGTTTGGCGACGAGACGGAGTTGCTGTGGCTGCCAGTACAGGCGGGCGAGTTCGCTTGGAACGAATCGCATGGAGAAGATTGAATACTGCATTTCGGGATGTTAAAGGGCGGGTCCTGGTACCCGCTGGTGAAATCGAAGAAATCGTCAAGTGAAATTGGAAACTATCTGAAGGCGCCCAGCACTGGGTGATGAGCGCGAAGTTTGGTGACGAGAGGAAGAGGAGCGCGGGGTGGCTTCTCTTTATACGGGAGGGCGGTGCCTAGGTGGGTTTGATTAGGGCTGATGGCTGATGGCATGCGCTAGCGGCCTACCCCGGTCGCAGTTTCCTGCAACTTTGAATGTAACCCGGCTGCGCCCACCAGCATCGGCAAGCACAGCCCACACCGACGACATGGCTACGATACACTCCTCACGATTACTACGGCCCAATCTCGCACTCGTGCAGCAGGACACGGTGCTGTCTTTCCTGGTGCCGTCGGTCCAATGCGCGCGCTTCTCCACATCACCCGCCCGATGGAAAAGAGACAACAACAGGGACAGAGGCAATTCCGCCGTCAGAGCTACCGGTCTGCGTCCTAGACAAACATTGTCGGTCAAGGAGAAAGATTTCGCAAAGCAGCGGTTGCCCAAGCCCGTCAAGATCGAGCAGGAAGTGACTGGCACACCCGACCACGGCCTGTGGGATTTCTTCAAGGACCAGCAGCTCCTACAGACACCAGTAGAAGAGCAGAAACATGGTAGGCTGCCATTGGTTCCGTGACGGGAAGCGGGTAACTGACAGAGGAACAGGAAGGTCGTGGACTGTTGGCGAGCTGCGCAGTCGAGACTGGGACACCCTGCACCAGCTGTGGTGGGTATGCGTGAAGGAGCGGAATCGTCTTGCGACCGAAAAGCTTGAGCGAAAGCGTCTGGACGCGGGCTACGGCGACTTCGAAAATGAGGAGCGAGACAAAACGGTGCAGGAGACGATGAAGGCGATTCTCGACACATTGGCCGAGCGACACCAGGCATACCAGGAAGCCTACGTGCTAGCGCAGAGCGATCCAGATATCGACTTGTCGAGGACAGACGGTCCACAGTACACTCAAACACCATATGTACGTACAACTTCTCAGGATGGCTATCCACATGCTGACCAATTTGTAGGAACCCGTAGAAGCAGACGAGACGCCGTACGAGACTCCGGCCGAGCAAACCATCGAAGAGCCCTCGAAAGACAAAGTACTTCCAGAACCCGAAGTGCAACCGAAGGAGAAGGTGAATCACGCATAATGAGGATCATGGGCGCAGGTGGCATATGCGCCTGGGTAGCTACCCGGCGAGGAATGTACCTGTTGAAACTTTTGCAACGGTACGGAAATCGTACAAATGTGACTACGATCATAAACGCATCATATATGGGATGGCGAACGGGGAGCACTGCTAGTGCAGTGAGGATGCTGTATAGATTAGGGTGGCCAGGGCGGCCTCTGTAGCATATCGCGTGTATCACAATCAGTCATGAAATCAATGAAGTGCACTAGTCAAGCGTATGCTAACCGCGACGAGTTATGAAAGTAATGCGAGCATAAACAGCCCTGGAGGTCGACCAGATTGGCGAGGCGCTTCCCAGAGAGAGCTACAACCCCACATCCATCACACCGCCTAGGGCTAACACCGCCTGTCCACGCGCCTTCTTAGCGGACACCCTCTACCGCAATCCTCAACTTTCTTATTCTGCACCCGACATCTGACAGCCATGGACGAGATTGCCCCCGAATACGACGTAGTGGTCCTGGGAACAGGTGGGTTGCCCTTACCCCACCTACGTAACGCTGCCGTCGCGGAAGCTAACTATCTCCAGGTCTCACGGAATGTGTACTTTCAGGGTAACACACGGACGCGTGCCAGCTTCCGAGTCCATACTGACATGCTTGCAGAGTCCTTAGTGTCAAGGGCAAGAAGGTGCTCCACATCGACCGCAACGACCACTATGGCGGGTATGTTATCTGAACAGGTACCCTGAGGGGCGAGAGCTAACAGGAAGCAGTGAGGCAGCATCGCTGAACATTGAAGCTGTAAGTTTTCGACAAGCCTGGCAGTCCAACACATGCTAACCCGGTGACTAGCTCTTCAAGCGGTACGGCCAGACCGAGGGCGAGCCATGGAAGAAGTACGGTCGCGTCAACGACTGGAACATCGACCTCGTCCCTAAGCTGCTCATGTCCAACGGTGAACTCACCAACATTCTCGTCTCCACCGACGTCACCAAATACCTCGAGTTCAAGCAGATCGCCGGCAGCTACGTACAACAGGGCAACGGCGCCAAGGCAACCGTCGCAAAGGTCCCCTCAGATGCCGGCGAGGCGCTGCGATCGCCTCTCATGGGTCTCTTCGAGAAGCGTCGGGCGAGGAACTTCCTCGAGTGGGTTGGCGCTTACAACGCGGATGACCCAGCGTCACACAAGGGTACGGATGCTCAAGTAAAAAGGAATAGAGAATGGTGACTGACATCTGACGCAGGCATCGATATCCAGAACTGCACCATGAAGGACGTATACGACAAGTTCGGCCTTGAGGCTACCACTCGCGATTTCATCGGCCACTCCATGGCCTTGTACCCCACCGACGACTACATCACACAGAAGGGGCAAGCAAATGAGGCCGTCCAGCGCATCAGGCTCTACGTCAACTCCATGGCACGCTACGGAAAATCGCCTTACATCTACCCGCTCTACGGTTTGGGAGAGCTTCCTCAGGGTTTCGCTCGTCTCTCCGCTATTTACGGTGGTACCTACATGCTGAACACCGACGTCGACGAGTTCCTCTACGAAGGCGACAAGGTTGTGGGTATCAAGGCCACCATGAAGGAGAAGGACGACGCTGGCGAGGGCATGAAGTTTGAGACCAAGGCAGGAAAGATCCTCGCCGACCCCTCATACTTCCCTGGCAAGGCGCGTGTTACTGGACATTTGCTCAAGGCCATTTGCATTCTGAACCACCCCATCCCCAACACAGCCGATGCCGACTCACTGCAACTGATCATTCCTCAGTCTCAGGTCGGACGCAAGCACGGTACGTATACACCCGTGTGCCCACAGAACCCTTGCTGACAGTTTCCACTAGACATCTACATCGCTGTCGTCTCGTCTGCACACAACGTCTGCCCCAAGGGCTACTACATCGCCATTGTCTCCACCATCGCTGAGGGCGACAGCAACCACCACCTTGAGCTCCAGCCCGGTCTTGACCGTCTCGGAAAGATCGAGGAGAAGTTCATGGGCCCAGCTATCCCACTCTACGAGCCAATTGAGAGCGGTGCCAAGGACAACATCTTCATGTCGAAGAGCTACGACGCCACCAGCCACTTTGAGACAACGACTGGTATGTTTCCGATGTCTGAAATGGTGCACGAAATACTGACATATGACAGATGACATCAAGGACATTTACCAGCGGGCCGAGGGCCACGAGCTGGTTGTCGAGGGTCTGAGAGAGGGCGCGAACTTCAATGTTGAGGAATAGACGGGCTCCACGAGGGGACGGATGATACAAGCATCAACGGTCTTTTAGGTATATCGTTTGGTAATCGGTAAAGACTTGGCTTCTACAATGACTTGCATTCTCAACATGTGTGAACGCGTGATGCTGCGGAGCTCGAGCTCGGTATTTCCTATTTGGGCGATGAGATCGGTCCCTTCCAACTCGACCACCACGTGCGTCTCGACGAACGTGTCAGTCCAGTCCAGATCAAGGTGGATAACAAGTCAAAGCTGCATCCATTTGTAGCGTATTGAGTCGTGATGTTGTACCTGTGCCTATGACGACGGTAGATCTTGGCAGGGATACCTCCATGGCTCCGCAACCATCTGAGTACTGCAACGCGTCCACAAAACGTGTCCTCGAAGCGCATTGCTGTTCCCACACTCCTTTACCATGGCGCAATTCGGTCGCTACAGGTTCCTGCTGGTAGCAGTGGTGTTCCATCTGGTGTACATTTATACAATCTTCAGCATACATTTCACAAGTCCAATTGTCCATGGCATGCGCGAGCACCGCGTGGAGACGCAGGAAGCTCCCGCGAAACGTTTAGTGCTTTTTGTTGGTGAGTCGCGTCAAATGGGCCTCCATTCAGCACTGACAGTATTACAGGCGACGGCCTCCGCGCAGACAAGGCTTTTCAATCGTTTCCCAACCCTGACCCCAATCCTCCGACCCCTCTCGCAGACAACACCAGCGACCCGCGACCTCTCGCCCCGTACCTTCGCTCTCGCGTCCTAGAACATGGCACCTTTGGCGTCTCCCATACACGCGTCCCCACCGAATCGCGCCCTGGACATGTTGCGCTCATCGCAGGTTTATACGAGGATGTCTCCGCGGTCACGACCGGGTGGAAGCTGAACCCAGTCAACTTTGACAGCGTCTTCAATCGAAGCCGGCATACATGGAGCTGGGGCAGTCCCGACATTCTTCCCATGTTTGAGGCGGGCGCTGTACCTGGGAGAGTCGACGCATACTGCTATGGTGCTGAAGAAGAGGATTCCTCCAAAGACGCCTGGGTGTTGGACGAATGGGTATTCGAGCGCGTCAAGAAGCTCTTCGCGGACGCCAAAACGAACGCGACACTGGACGCAGAATTGAGGCAGGAGAAAAACGTCTTCTTCCTCCACTTGCTTGGAATCGACACTACAGGCCATGCGCATCGTCCATACTCGTGGCAATACTTGCACAACATTCAGATCGTGGACCGTGGAGTTCAGGAGATTACGGAGCTGATTGAAGAGTTCTACAACGATGGCAAGACGTCCTTTGTGTTCACGGCGGATCACGGCATGAGCGACTGGGGAAGCCATGGAGACGGACATCCAGACAATACGCGCACACCCTTGATTGCATGGGGTGCTGGTGTTGCAGCACCATTGAAGAACGTATCAGGCGTTGCTAAAGGCCACACCGAGTTTTCTTCGGACTGGAACTTGGACGAGGTCGAACGACACGACGTTGACCAAGCCGACGTCGCGGCATTGATGGCGTACCTGGTCGGTCTGGACTTTCCCACCAACTCCGTCGGAGTCTTGCCGCTCTCTTACCTTGACAAAGACCCCAAAGCCAAGGCAGAAGCTCTTCTTGCCAACGCTAAGGAAATACTGGAAATGTATCACGTCAAAGAGGATATCAAGAAGTCGACACAACTCCACTACAAGCCGTTCGCTGGCCTTGGTGACGACGCACATTCTGTCGAACATCGCATTGCGGAAATACAAGCTTTCATCGACAAGGGCAACGATGTCGAAGCTATCCGTGAGACTTACGAGCTCATCGACCTTGGTCTCGAAGGATTGCGGTACTTGCAGACGTACGATTGGCTCTTCCTACGGACGCTGGTGACTGCCGGCTATGTCGGATGGATTGTGTTCGCCATTACGACTGTCATTGACTTGCATGTGCTCACCGAACATGTGCCAGCACAAAGAACGGCGGCCAGTATGGTGGTGTTCTCTTCTGTGTTTGTTGCACTCTGTGGAGTATTTTTCAAACAGGAATCACCGATCGTCTACTACGCATACGCCGTTTTCCCTGTCTTGTTTTGGGAGGAAGTCTTTGCGCAGAGGCTGTCGCTCGTCAAGGGCGGCAAGGTTCTGTTTGGTCATCTGAACTCAGGCGCCGATATTGCGAAACTTGTTCTTGCGACTCTAGGCTTTTTTGGTCTCCTCGAGGCTTTGGTACGTAGGCCATGCACAGAAAGCCACGATGGTACTAACTTAGAGATAGGTCCAAAGCTACTTCGTCAGGGAAATTTACACCGTATGCTACCTGGTTGCAACACTATGGCCAGCAGTCTATGGACAAGAGTTTGTGAAGAAGAACATGGCGACAGTCGCCACTTGGGTCCTGTCTTGCGTGGGCATGAGCGCTTTCACACTACTACCAGCCAACAAGGCAGAGGACACTCGCCTGATGTAAGTGCGTCGCCCAGAGGAATTGATCTGGGACTAACAACCTGCAGTCTTCTTGGAGGTGCGTTGATGTTTGTCATCGGCGCGCTTTACCTGCTCTTTGAGAAGAGCATTCTCGAAGACGGTAAATCCGAAGCCGAACTCGCCAAGCACGAGCTCAACAACAACTCTCGTATCATACTGGGCGTCCAGCTCGGTCTCGTAGTACTGTCCATGATTGTGACGAAAAGCAGCAGCGGATACCTCCAAGCGCGCGTAGGCATACCATTTGGTGTTCTGACAGTGACACGAGCAACGCTGTTGGCCTCACTTGTCGTCCCTCAACTGCATGGTCTATACCCCAACACCCACTACGTCCACCGCCTCGTAGTCATCTTCCTGCAGTTTGCGCCGACATTTATCATTCTCTCCATCTCGTACGAAGGGCTATTTTACTTCGCCTTCTGCATGTGTCTGTTCAGCTGGATGCGCCTCGAGCACCAGGTGTACCTGCATAACACGGCCAACCCATCGACTGCAGCCATTACATCGGATCCGGCCAAGCCTACCATGGACGCTGCGTCTGATCGCCTCGATTCGCTCCAAAAGGGGGAGTACAGAACATTGACACTAGCCGACGCCCGCATCGCCCTCTTCTTCATCTTCTTCATCCAGTCGGCCTTTTTCAGCGCATCCAACATCGCTTCGGTGTCGTCGTTTTCGCTCGACGCCGTCTACCGCCTGGTCCCCATTTTCGATCCCTTTTCTCAGGGCGCACTTCTCATGCTCAAGCTCATGGTGCCATTTGCGGCTCTCTCGGCCAATTTCGGTCTGCTCAACCGCCGTCTGGGTGTGGCGCCGTCAGCCCTCTTCATGGTGGTGATGGCAGTCAGTGATGTCATGACACTGAGCTTCTTCTACATGGTCAAGGACGAGGGCAGCTGGCTGGAGATTGGAACGACGATTAGTCACTTTGTTATTGCGAGCTTGTTGGGTGTGTTTGTTAGCGGACTCGAGATTTACAGCGAGTGGACTATTCGGGGGGTGGAGTTTGGCGGTAGCAAGAAGACGCAGGGGAATGGAACCGTCAACGGAAAGACTAGTGGGAAGGTAGAGTAGTTGGTGTGTAGTTGTAGTGCGTTTAAAATTAGTTTCGTATGCGAGCGTATGGTCACCTCATACAAGGGAAAAGCTCAACAAGTGCGCTGAAGTCGACATTACTATACAAACACCAGTTTGAGAATTGTCAAGGCAATGTAGTCTTATCAGTTCTGCAGAAGTAGCTGTCCAGTTTTCTTTTCGACAGGGTTTGATGTGCCAACCCTGTTGAGATAGGGGAAGCAATGGTCGAAAAGTATGGTTCACTACGGCAACGGTAGGATCGCTGGACGCGCTGTACCAAACACGCAGGAAACGCACGTTGACTGGAGCTAGGAAGATGCATGCTTCCGAGATGAGCTTAGGTTGCCGGGCAACATTGCGCTGTGCAAGTACCTGAAGCGGTCGTGATGCTCTGGAAGCGACGGCAGGCCGCGTGGGGAAGGCGAGGTCGCTTGAAGGAGCATCACCGTGCTGTCTCGTTATCAGGCGAGATGGGCGGACGGCAGGCTCGAAGCGGTCTCGAGAGGTGTGATGTGGCTGGGGACGGGCGGCTGGGAAGGCTCGGCTCCACAAACTAGCGGGGCCTGCGGATGCTGCGCTGGGCGGCATGCGAGGATGGTCCTACCCAACGCACGACTATACAAAGCCTACGCTCGTCAACAACATCCGTTCGGCGCATTATTACCTCCGCTACCGTCTGCGGCGCATTGTTTACGTCCATCGCTCCGCAAAAGACATATAGTCCGTCTTGTGCGACGCGCCGTGTGTGTGTGCAACGCAGCGCATCATCGATAGTCGTGTTATCGTGTCTTGGAACCAGGGGCCTGCCCCAACCACCGCCGCCAACAGCAGCCCGTCGTTCAACCTCGCACATTTCCTGCGAATCGAAAGCCTAAATCCCACACGCCCAACCATTCTTTATTCGTATCGTCAGGCGCAATCTCGCTTCCTCTGAACTGTCAGCTTATAACACCGCCGGCCTTCACCCTTCGCTGCAGACTCTTCTTTTCGCATAATGTTCTTCAAACGGTAAGTCGGACCTGCTACGCGCTGCATCTGGTGACGCGCACTAACTTTGCATAGTCGGTCCCGAGCCAATTCTTACGTCGACAACAGTGAGAACCCGCGCTCGCAGTCATTCGACGATTACACAGATAAGCGCCCCGAGTCGAGCCGTAAGGAGTCCCACCACAGCCAGCCCTTCTCGCCTACCGAGGAGCCGGACATGTATCCCCGCCAGCAGCAACCCCAAGAGCCGACGTACGCGCAGAGTGCTCCCCCAACCCACAACAACATGCCCATCCGCTCCCAGCAGGTGCCCCCGACCGGCAGCAGCGCCCCGATGGGGCTCGGCATGCCCGACCTCATCACCGCTGCCTTCAACCAGGCCGTCCAGCCCTACACGGAGAAGATCGAGCAGCTCGAGAGCCAGCTCGCCGACATGCAGAACTGGGTCGACCAGCTCGAGCAGCAGCGCGCCGAGGTGCACAACTGGATCGACAAGCGCGGACTGCGCCCAGGTAAGCCACCTGCACTGCTCGCTGCACCACTTTGTACTGACCTGCCCAGACGTTCCTGCCTCAATTGCTAAGATCATGGACACCACCACCGCCGATGCGGCGCCCACACTCAACGCCCAGCTCGACCGCAAGATCACCATCGTCAACTTCGACCTGCACCGCCTGCAAGACGACCTCAACGACTCCATCTCCTCGTCGCACTTTGCCTCGGCCATGCTGAAGTTCCTGCCCGACATCCAGCGCCTGACACTGCTCCCGTCCGGCCCGCGCTACGCCTTCGACCTCATCCTGAAGCTCGGCGGCAACCTCAACTCCCACGGCGGCATCGACAGTGCTGACGCCGGCGACATAGCAGCCCGCCGCGACTTCTACAACAGACTCGACGAGACCATGGTCGATGTCGTGCAGCGCCGCTTCGGCGAGGGCGAGGGCTGGGACGTCAAGCGCGAGATCAAGCGCATCGAGAAGACCGCCAGCTACCTCAAGACCTACGGCGTCGAGCCATACTTCCCCTCAACGCTTGAGATGATGAAGCGCGAGATGGAGTTCCAGCCGCACCCCAACGGCGGTGTTCCCAATGGCGGAACAGGAACCCCACCGCGGTACCATTAGATCTCTTGAGTGTGTGAGCTGAGGTGTGCTGACAGTCTGTAGCTCGGGAGAGTCGATCGAACAGAGGATAGAAGCGAGGCTGGCGAAACTAGCACAACTCACGCAAGCTATCAAGAAGTGTCGAAGTGCGCAGGACAGCTTGGGCCAATTGCATCAGTTCGTCGACCACACACCCGGGCGCTCTTCGGGGCCTCCCCCGCCGCTCCCTGCACGGCCTCCGCCTCAGCCGCCTACGAGAACTGCGCCACCTCCACCCGGATCTGTCTCGGATCTCTGTCTTGGTGGTGTTGGCGCCGCTCCGGCTGCTTGATGAACCCTTGTACTTAATACTTTTGACTGAACGAATTTCCTTGATGTGTTGCATGATGCGGGGAAGGGAAGGAATTGGGGGTAAATTGGGGTGTGGTTCTTCTTCTGCATCATACCCGAGCATATTTTGGTAAACGGCGGCGTTTGGGAATTGGGTAGCCTCTTGCATGTAGCTCGCGGCGTACATTTAGTATAGTTGTCGCTTCTTTTGAAGTAGTAATTGAGAACATGACCGAAGATTTTGGGTCTGCAGCCTACGTCGACGCAAAGTGAGTGACCCAACGTCAACGTAGGCTTTAGGGTGTTCGGTTTTTTTTTCTTGTGTCAAGTGGCAGAGGTGAGAATCTCCAAAGTTGTGCTTGACTGGATTGCATGCGCCGAAAAGAAGACCTTCTAGAAACATGGTGATGCGCTGACAGTGCGCATCATCTGGCCTGTATTAGGGAAGAAACAACCCCGAGGTGGACATGCACTCGCTCAGCTTCTTTGCGGATATCAGGCGTAGCGGCTTGGCAACAGTGTGTCTGTGTATAAAAGATCTACTGCTGCTGCTCAATCTCTTCTCCTTCATTATCGCAGTCTGAGTGTTATACTCCAAAAACTCAGCATACCAGTCCTGATGTTCTGTCTGCTCCTCCTTTTCCAAAATGTCCTTAACAAAGTTTCATGGATTTCTGCTCCGCTCTCTCCTCTTTGTCTAAACATTAAAACCCACCCTACGTATGGTACATGCGTCCAGAAAGATATCACTGCATAATTCATGTTGCAATCTTCGAAATTGACGGAAAACAAAAGCAACATATGTATGTTCCTATGATCTTCGGGTGCTCAAAACTGAACATGGGCTATGCAAATGGGCGCTGGTGGAACTCTGGTTTTGAGACAATTCGAAAAATCAACCGCCAAACTCGCATGAGCTTTGCGGGAACTTTAACGCTTTACTGCTCTTTTGGCGCGGCGCTGTCGTGGGAGATGGGTATAAAATACACTCTTCTGCGCCTTTGAACCTTACTTCCTATACCATACTTTCTTTCTAAAACTCCAAAGGTACCGCTGCACAACGGAATGATTGTGCTGTCTTTCTCGAAATCAAACCAATACATGAACATATTATGGTGGCTCTCTCCCTCTTTCCTCTCTCTTATCCGAGAAAGACGGGAGCATACCAACCTTGGAATATACTCAGAATCGTCGACCACAGTTCGTTGGTTTTCCTTCTTCTCAAACACATTTTCAGAAGAAGCATCAGAAAGTAGTACTGGCAGATGTCATGGAGATCGCTGGTGTTGCGCTGGCTGGACTTGGAAGCGTGCGACACAAAAAACGTACGGCACACAACGGTATGTTGAGAGGAAGAGCAGAGAAGTTGATATACCAAGCTTCCGGCGCGATCTCTGTATTGATCTTACGTTCTAGAAGCTATATAAAAGCTCTTCCGACCTTGGCTCTTCTTGTCTCGTTACTTCCTCTACGATCTCCTCCCATTTACCAAATGTACGCCAAACTTGGCCATGTTCTGCCTTTCTTTCTCCCAAAAAAGAAAAAGAACATGTTCGTCAAATTTCCATCACCAAAACTACTGGCAAACTTTCGCATGTCTCTTTGTCGTCTTTGCTTTTCGTACTTCGAAATGCCGAGTGCAGCGCTGCATGCACTGTAGTATTTAACAAAAGTGGTCAAAACATGGTGGAAAAGGTTTTATGTCTTCCAAAGACTCAACTTTGCATTACCGCAAAGTCTACCTCGCCGTTCAGGAACAGTCTCCAAAACAGAAACACTCAACTGTGATGGCTACCTAGTCAAAAGTACTACTGTGGAATGCATGTCGAGTTTCAACATACCCTTATTAATACATACCGAGGCGACTGTCGCAGAACGTTATAAAAGCTCTGCCGGTTCCTCTCTTCCTACTTCCTCTACCCCTCAGTGCTCGAAGTGCTTTCCTCTAAAACACGTAGTGCACCTCTTGATGGGCTCTCCTCTTCGAAAAGGACAAAATCGACTACCGTAGTCTCCTTCCGCCTTTATTCCTCCACGTCTTTCCACCAAAGGGAACCACACACTGACGTATGATCCTTCCGCTTCTCTTTCTTCGAAATTTGACATCCTATCGCATCAAAAGAGACAAAAAAGCAAAAAATGTTCGGGAAGGCGACGATATTGGACCCCAGCCACTCCATGGCTCGTCTGCGCCCTGCTGTCTTCTCAAACAACAAATCAGTCTCCCGCATTTAGCATATGCGTGCGGTTGAGTGCTCAGCCCAACACCGATGGCATAACGGATGTTGGAGCGCGATTTACCACCGTGACTTCAGAGCAGTCTTGCAGGGCGCAGGAGAGCTGATATAAAAACCTGCGTTCCACCGCTGTCGTTGTCCTTTTCACTACAAAACATATTCCTCTATATGTCCAAAACGCAATCTAGAAACGCCTATGATCTGCTCGTCTAAAAACAAAAGACTACAAGCTCATGTCTCGGCGCTCTGCTCTCGACATCTACAAACTTTCAAGCACCCTTTGGATGCTCTTGCCGTCACGGACTCCGCTTCTTAAATAATCACGTCTGGAATTTCACATCACCTACTTGCTTCATCGGTGCTTCTGCCTTAAAATCAGTCAGGCGGTGTCACCACATGACTCAGACGCTCAGCTCTGATCTGTACTTCCAAAGATCCCAATGTCGAACTCTATGAAAGAAGAAAGACAACCTTCGCGAAGACATCTGAAAATGAACTTGATACTTATCGCATGCTTTCGACTAGCTGGTGTGGAAAAACGCGGGTTGCAGACATGGCGGCCAACGTCACACGGCAGCGGCAGCGGCAGTAAGGTCTTCTCTGTCTTTCGCGCTCGAGCCCGAGGGGTCTTCTCGCGAGGGTACTTTGGTTGTGTACATTGGGGGGGAGATATTCGGTAACGGTGGTTAGCGGCAGTAAGGTGCCTCTGTGCCACAAGCATTTGGGAGCCTACATTCACTTTTTCAGGCATCCCAAGCAATCGAAAAGATGATATCGTAGTCGAAGTAATGCGGTGTTCTGCCTGGCCGCAATTGACCCTGCCCAGGTGGGGGTTCGTTTAGGCGGCCTGTGGTATTTCTCTAGACGCCCGCAATCGACAGTTTTCGACGACTTGCCTGATAGGGAAATGCGCTATAGCCACACACTAGCCCAGCAGGGTTTAGCACATCCTCGCGCTCTCATCCAGTGCTCCAGTCTCCAGCCACCAGACTTTATCACTCAAATAACCAGATTCAACACGATGGCTTCTACAGCACAGTACGCTTGTGGTATCTGCAGAGAGCGCAAAGTTCGGTGCGATCGCGCGCTTCCAAAATGCAGACGGTGCGATCGTCTCAACCAACCGTGTGGTTATCAAATGCACTCGCGTCGCACACGCGACGATCAGCTCAAACAGCTTCAGGAACGGCTGGCCAAGACGGAGGCTCACCTTGCTCTTACCACTCAAGATCTATCTCCGACGACCACACCTCAGGCGCAACCAACTCCTATCTTAGAGCATACGGCTGCGAGCACTCCGATGGACCTGGATAGTGCCAGAGAGACGAATGCAGTCGTTGCAAATGGTTCATTGGTTCCGGACGTTGATTTGTTCTCTTCTTTTGCAGAAGACATGGAATCACATAAGACATTCGACTGGATGAATCAGCCGCTGGCGGCGCTCGAACCAATGGATGATTTACTTCTCAATCAACCTCAGGAAGCGTCACAAAGCACCTCAAAAGAAGACATGTCTCCAACCGATCTGAGTTCGCTGCACGATCGCTACTTCCAGTCCGTCCACTATTCCTTTCCGTTCATAAACAGAGATAAGTTCATGATTGAGCCAACGGTGAGCGGTGGCCCTGCAGCGAGTGCTTTGGTCTATGCTGTTGCGCTTGCGGGCTGCTCTTACACTACCCTTGAAGACTCCGAACGACAGTCGACATGCTACAACCTAGCGCGTGATTACGCCGAGAGATGCGAGCGAGAAGACTGCATGAGTGATCTGAACTTCATCCAAGCCTTGCTGTTGATAGGGCGCTTTGAGGCTACAAGCCAGAAGCTGGAGAGGAGTTGGCTGACACTGGGACGCGCCGCCATGCTTTGTAGGCTTTTGAGGCTACATCGAATGGACGAAGTCAGCCATGATCAAAATACTGAGAGCGGAGAAAGCCAAAATAGCCCTCTTTTCAGTTTGCCGCATACTGAAGATCCAGTGCTACTGGAAGAGCGACGGCGCACATTCTGGGGCTTGTACATATTGGAAAGCTACGTGAAAACACGTAGCGGATTACAGTGTCAGCTGGGAGACGTCAAGGTGCGGAATGTGAATCTCTATGCCTTTAAGAGACTGACACAGTATTCAGGACTTTCGAATCAACTTACCATCGCCAGGGCTTTTGGATTCGAATTTAGTACCGCTCAAGATGCCTTCTGTTCTAGACGTGGGTACCGAACCCGGTCTCGAGCTATCATCTTACGCTGGCTGCGTTCTAATGGTCGAGTTGGCCTTACGCTGCTTCGACCATGGGCAACAACGTGACAGACCAGGTTTCTGGGACGACTACTACGCCCTAGTCAAGAAGACTGATGACCTCTTCGTTCTCCTCAAGCGTCATCTCAACGCGACTTCCATTCGTGAAGATCCCGTAGCATTCAGTCTCTACATGAATTTGCGCGCGACTGAAATCT